CAACCACAGCCTCCCAGACACTGTTCAGAGAGGTGTACTGTTTTCCCTCCTTGTAAATCTCACATTTGATGATGGACCACAGGTTCTCAATGGGGTTCAGATCAGGTGAACAAGGAGGCCATGTCATTAGATTTCCTTCTTTTATACCCTTTCTTGCCAGCCACGCTGTGGAGTACTTGGACGCGTGTGATGGAGCATTGTCCTGCATGAAAATCATGTTTTTCTTGAAGGATGCAGACTTCTTCCTGTACCACTGCTTGAAGAAGGTGTCTTTCAGGAACTGGCAGTAGGACTGGGAGTTGAGCTTGACTCCATCCTCAACCCGAAAAGGCCCCACAAGCTCATCTTTGATGATACCAGCCCAAACCAGTACTCCACCTCCACCTTGCTGGCGTCTGAGTCGGACTGGAGCTCTCTGCCCTTTACCAATCCAGCCACGGGCCCATCCATCTGGCCCATCAAGACTCACTCTCATTTCATCAGTCCATAAAACCTTAGAAAAATCAGTCTTGAGATATTTCTTGGCCCAGTCTTGACGTTTCAGCTTGTGTGTCTTGTTCAGTGGTGGTCGTCTTTCAGCCTTTCTTACCTTGGCCATGTCTCTGAGTATTGCACACCTTGTGCTTTTGGGCACTCCAGTGATGTTGCAGCTCTGAAATATGGCCAAACTGGTGGCAAGTGGCATCGTGGCAGCTGCACGCTTGACTTTTCTCAGTTCATGGGCAGTTATTTTGCGCCTTGGTTTTTCCACACGCTTCTTGCGACCCTGTTGACTATTTTGAATGAAACGCTTGATTGTTCGATGATCACGCTTCAGAAGCTTTGCAATTTTAAGAGTGCTGCATCCCTCTGCAAGATATCTCACTATTTTTGACTTTTCTGAGCCTGTCAAGTCCTTCTTTTGACCCATTTTGCCAAAGGAAAGGAAGTTGCCTAATAATTATGCACACCTGATATAGGGTGTTGATGTCATTAGACCACACCCCTTCTCATTACAGAGATGCACATCACCTAATATGCTTAATTGGTAGTAGGCTTTCGAGCCTATACAGCTTGGAGTAAGACAACATGCATAAAGAGGATGATGTGGTCAAAATACTAATTTGCCTAATAATTCTGCACTCCCTGTATATTCAAAATCCCCAAATCAAAAGCAGTGATTAATTGCTTTCCTATGGGGCATGTGCATTAGGTTCCCCCATTTCCAACGTCAGAGAAGGCAGAGATGGAACCAGGCGTGGCTGTAAAGAGGCAAGTGCTTAAAAGTTTTTATTAACCATTTAATCACCAGGTGGGGGTTCAGACAATAGCTTTAGTCAGAGGGACACTATAGCTTTTTAGGAATACAGTTTAATATTCTTAATGCCTTAATACAATGTACCTTAATACAATGGAGCCTAAATGCAACATTCACTTAAAACAAAATAATAAAAACACTGAGAAATAAAGTGACAAAAAATGATTATTTTACAAAAGCTGCAAACTAACAGAATTGCTTTAATAATGTGAGTATTTTAGGATATTTAAAAGAAAATTAAAAGCATCACATAATGTACAAAAACAGATGGCAAGCTTTTGTTTGCAAATTAGATGAGATAACTTGAAAAAAGTTATTTAAAAAAAAAAAAAATTCCATTAATTATACTGCTATTATAGCCTAATTTGATGTGTATGGGATATTTATGGCACATTGATTGTAGGGACTATTTTTTAGTCTACAATTTAAATATAGATCATACATGTTTTTTTCAGAATGTGGGTGACATCATACATTTTTTCTACATATCTTTAAGCACCAGCAACAGCAATTAAAGGTTCCCTTAAGTTTGTTTTTTTTTTTTAACTATTTAACTATTGTGATTTAAAACTTAAATAAGTGTGAGTTGTATTTATTCTTCTTTTATTTTTATTTAGCTAGTGAAAAACAATTTTAAAAAGAATGAACATTAGATATATAGGCATTAGAGCTCCTCTTAGAACAGGGGTCCTCAAACTCCACCCCCCGCCCCAGATGTTGCTGAACTACAACTCTCATGATTCTCTGGCTATCTATATAATTCAAAGAATCATGGGAGTTGTAGTTCAGCAACATCTGGGAGGGCCAGAGTTTGAGGACCCCTGTCTTAGAACATCTTAGAAAGTCGTTTTGTATTAAATGTCAGATAGCTATAGGTCAAAATGTGATTCCAGTTTGCTCACAATCTAATATTTTCCATCCTCCTATTATGCACTGCATAGAATAACATATGGAATCAATCAGTGCATGTAATAAAATAACCATCACATAAACAATTAGGTTGATTATATTATTAAATTGTTTTAATATCATCAGTGAGTGAAAACTGAAGTCTGATTATATAATAGCAGCCTTACAGTAGAACGATAATTAGCATGCATTATCTTTAATTAGTAAGCATGTGTGTCATTTGTTTGTTATTATGAACACCTTGAATATTCTTAGAAAGCATTATTAATGTAAATAATTTAACAAGAAAGAGACTGAGAAGAAGTACTGTGGAAAATCTGCATCAAGATGTGTACTGGGTTTATGCAATATGCAATCTATTATTAAACATACGAATTTAAACTTATATAGGAAATATTACTGTTTAACTCCTTCATTGAAATAAACAAATGTCACACATTTCTTAATTATACTATCTATTCAAGCCATAAATGATCCAATTTGTGGGTGTCCACAAGTCCAGGTGATGGTCAGTAGATATGTAAAAGAAGAGTATTTGGAAACACAATGTAGTGTAGTATCTTCTGACAGTCTTTGAAGCTTGTATAGCAATGCACTTACATTATTTTTGGATCTACAGATCAGTTCCAAATGATAGAACCTGGGTTGTACAATCCCCACCCATTGATATGTTGGTCCACTGTGGCCTTGGCAGATGGTATGTCTGAAACTGATTGCTTGAAGGCAACAGATAATAAAAGAATAAAAAAGTAAACAGTACTCACTGATAAAGAATAAAATTACAAGTAAATTAAAAAAGAGGAAGAGCAGAAAAATGGTTTTGATTAATCCCAATCGCATAGGTGGGATAATTCCCACCAAGGATATTGCTGGAGTGATCCTCTTGATAATATCTTCTAAAAACCTAACAGCATGATCCAGCATGGGTAAAAAGTATATAATGTTTATTAGAAATTAAAATAATATAGTAAAATTGTCAGAGATCAGAATAGTCAGTAAGAAAGCTAAGGTCAAATTACACAAGAAACGCACTCTCGGATAACCAGAATGGAAACCATGACAGGGCACAGATAAATGAAGGAAAAAGGTTTAAGTAGCCTAAGGTGCTCCTTGATTGGCTGCAGGGAAGCATGTGACAGTGAACGTGTGTGTGTGTGTGACGTCACACACACGTTTCCAAAGTTAGGCACTCATAGGGTTAAGCAAGAAACTTAAAAAGGTTCCTACTTGCAGCCACCAACGTCTCTAATAATTACAGACCCGGCCGCTGTGTGAGGGGAGGAGTGCCTGTCAGTGGACAGCTGACATCGCAAGTAAGAAATTGGCAGCATTCCCATTACCAAGTGGGAATGCAGCCACAACGAGATGTTGGGTCCCAGTCTGCTTCCGGGCCACTCAGCAGGCGCCTAAAGACAGGGTGAGTATTCGTGGTATTCCCCTTGTGATGTGAGAATGCCGCCGTGATGAGATGTGCCCACCGGGACTCTCTGGCAGAAGCGGACTCGGCAAAGATATGACAGTAATACAGCAATGCTTCTCTCCAAATAGCAGGCTTTATCAAAAAGGTTGTTGATATTTTGAGCAAAAAACGATTTCCAAACTATTGACGTGAGCTCTGGGGAGTCAGCATCTGACGTGGAAAACACCTATACAAGGAGCAAGAGGAAAAGGTCCCCAAGTAGGGGACAGAAGAATTACAAGAAATGCAAACATCAGCATAAAATCCCAACACAAAGGAGATGACCGTAGTATTTAACCTATCTGATAAGTTTCTTGATTCCAATTACCTTGCAGTCCTTAATAAAGGACTCGAGTTTGTTCCGGAATGTAAACCAGACCTGTTTCAGGTTGATGTGGAGATATACAAACTCCAGATAATTCTGTGTAGCAATGAAATGAAAAAAGACTCCAGTACCACAACATATGACCATCCATTTACATCCAGAAACAAAAGAGCTATCAGTAGCAACAACATCTCGATTAAATCTTGCATACAAGCAGTACAGAGAGATGCATCGAATACATCTAGAACACCTCCTAAGCACAGATACAATCTCACCAAAGAGGAAAAGTCAGCCCTACTGGATTTGATGAATGACCCATCTATCATTATTGCATATGGGATGGATGGCCTGATTTGTTTGGCGCAAGCCACAAGCTCGTGGGAAACATTTTTGTGGCTGTTTTCCATGTACCTAGGTATCTCTGTATTACAGGCATCTGTGTATTGTGCACCTGTATTATACAGAGTTCAGTGGTGTCTGTATATGCAGCTGTGGGTCAACAGAGAACAGCAGCTCTCTATTCATGCATAAAGTATAGGTAGGTGTCAAATGTATGTTGTGGGCTAATCAAGTTAATTGCTGCCCTTTGAGTATCCACCTGCTGTGGGAGCCAGCAAGTCTATCTACTACAGCAAAGGGCCAAGAAAGAAGCTGGTGTTGTCTCTTCCTTGAGGTCTCACAAGATATGGCTATTCATTGTTCTCTATTGAGTAATTACTAATAAGATTATTGCCAGAAGAATGGATGGATAGAATATCATATAGTAACCAGATATCAGCTCAGTATATCCTGCGTACTCTATCAAAGACGATTCCTCGCATTTAGTGGATCAGTTCAGTACTGCAAGTTACGTAAAGAGGATAGAGGATATATTAAGGCTGTATCATCACAGCCCGGCTGTCAAAGGTGGTGCCATCATGATACAGTGATATATTAAGTATAAATCTGAGATATGTCGACAATTGAAGGATGAACAGACATACTGCAAACTTACAATCGATCCAGTAAACATGTTCCAAAAAATCACAAGTAACCATATTGACATAGGACTCCAATCCAGATACCTTGACCAGAAACTGGCAAAATTTCTGTTCGTACCTCATCCAAAACACCCAGTGTTGTTTACACCACCTAAGATCCACAAGGACACCAAGAATCCAACTGACAGACCAATTGTGTCTGCCAAGGAGGGAATTATTCAACCAATTGCACAACATGTCAATTACTACATCAAGGATTGTGTCAGAGAACTACTAACCTATTTGAGGAACACTCAAGATTTCTTTCAACATATTCGGAAGATCACCTTAGATGATGATGTGGACACTCTCTTGGTTACGTTGGACGTACAAATCTTGTACACGGTGATTTCTCATACACTGGGCATTCATGCGTTTAGGGAAATGTTCTGTTCATCATACACCTACAAGGATGGGGATGGCTATGGCACCTTCATACGCAAATGCGTTCATGTTCTATTTCAAGCATGAATGCATTCAATCTGTATACAAGAACAGGATCCTAGAATTGTAGATGACATCTTTTTAATCAGGAAGGGCACACCAGAGGAATTGTGTGAGATGGTGGAAAAGTTAACTCCTTGTCAGGATTATATTGATCCAGCACGAAGAATAGTGAAACACAGACCCTGTGCGTTGTGGAGGTGGGAAAAGGTGGAGGGGCGGAATATAGATTTGGCAAACTCACTTGGGGCCAAGGAGAGGCGTCAAGGAGAGTTGAGTGGACACCTGGATGTTCGGGTTCGCTGAGTTCGGCCGAACTTCGTCAAAAAGTTCGAGTTCAGGCTCGAACTTGACCCTGAACCCGAACCCCATTAAAGTCAATGGGGACCCGAACTTGTGGGCACTAAAATGCCTATAAAAAAGTTGTGGAAAGGGCTAGAGGGCTGCAAAAGGAAGTAAAATGGGGGTAAGAGTAGGACAAGTTCTCTGCAAACAAATGTGGATAGGGAAATTACTTAAAATAACATAAAAAAGCAGTCGCTTAGTAGATAACTCCCTAATTCCCACGGTATTAGGGAGCTATCTACCAAAAGGCTGAAAGACCTAAATTGGTCTTTCAGCCACATTTACTAATACTAAGTAAATATTACTTAGTATTAGTAAATTCAGCCCCCTACTGGCTATACCGAGAGTAGGAGCATGTCTAGTAAACAGTGAGCAGCCAGTGGCTGCTCACTGTAAAAAAACAAACAAAAAACAACAAAAAACCTATTGGCCCCCACCTGTGAATGGCGGGTGGGGGCCCTAAAGTAAAATAGGGTTGGGGGCCGGGAGGAGGACAGTAGGTGTCCCCCCCTCTTTCTTATTTAGGGGCCCCACCCATGCGCGGTGGGTGGGGGCCAGGGGGAGGACAGTAGGTCCCCCTCCTCAATCTTATTAAGGGCGCCCACCCACCGCACATGGGTGGGGGCTGGGGCAGGACAGTAGGTCCCCCCTATTCTTATTTAGGGTTCCCACCCACTGCGCAGTGGTGGGGGCCAGGGGGAGGACAGTAGGCCCCCCTTAATCTTATTTAGGGCTACCACCGCGCAGGCGTGGGGGCCAGGGGGGAGGACAGTAGGTCCCCTCTCAATCTTATTTAGGGCCCCCACTCACCCCGCAGGTGTTCCACAAATTAACATAGCAACCAAGCTGACATGCGTGTGAGATATGATGTGGCAGAGTGGAAAAAGCTATGGTGAGCTTAAACAGGACATCAATAATCCTAGTGCCATAATAGGAAAATCTATTTATAATTTATGCTCAAATAATTGAGGAAGGACCTTACCCAAGGTAACCACAGTGGGGGGAAGGGGAGAAGGGAGGAAAGAGGGGCAACAGGAACCCTAGACTGTCTAGAAGCATATTAGAAACAACATAATATAAACATTAAAAACTACTAAGATCAAAAATGCAAATGTTAGTTTATAGGTAACAAAAACTTGTAGACTTCAGCAAGTGTCCTGTTCCTGGCTGAACCACATTTTGGGGATCACAGGAACAGGATGGATCAGCAGAGGATGGAGATGTCCCAGCAACAGCCAACATGGCAAGAAAGGTTGTTACTTCAGCTACAAAAGCAAAATTGTGAAATGTTCGTTTTGTGTGGACAGTCAGCTCCCTCAGAGCCAACCAATGGTAAGGCAGTCCAGTGATATGGATTTGTAGAGTGGCCTGACTCATACATTTCCTTAATTGCATAGTAGACTGGGTAGGATTATAAAAAAGAAGAGTTAATATGACTCAAAAGTAAATGGCATTTCCCCACAAACAGCTCCTGTCCGTCAATGACTGGCAGCGGATGATTACATGCCTAGGGGCAGATGCAAATGCCATGAATAATTTATTTACATAATCAAAGGTCAGTATTTTGGTCTACCTGGGTGGTAAAATGGAAGCTTACAGCCTCCTTAAAAAGTGAGGAAGTTCTTTAGCTACCACCATGACTGCTATATATTTTATCTTAATATTGTGCCTCTTGCGTCTGTCATCAGCAAAGTCCAATCGAAGGGCCAACTCATTTGCTCTGTTTGAAGGTGGGAATCTGATTCCTATAGCTTAATAATTTATTGATGTAGTGTAGTACATCCTGCTTGGCTGACAGCTTGTTTCTCTGTTTAAATCAGAGTTAAGTCCTAAGCAAGAGGACCGGAGCAGATCTCTTCAACATAGCAGGTGCGAATGAGCATAGAACAGCAGAGGTAGTGAGGTTGGGGGAAGTTTTGTAAGGGGAAGGAGAGAGATGAGAGATTTCTTCCCTGATTGTAGAAATCTTATCAGTGAAGTGAGTTGCAAAGTTTGTGGTGGTTAAGATGGTAGAAGGAGGAGGAGTAACAGGACGAAGAAGATAGTTAAAAGTGTGGAATAGTCGTCTGGGTTCACGGGAGAGTGTGATTATGAGGGTATTGAAGTAATTTGCTTTTGCAGGAGAAAGAGGCAAGCTGTAAGAGCACAGCATAAATTTAGGGTGGCAAAGTGCTCAATAAATAGCCTAGGATGACCGGGAGCGAGGGGGAGAGGTCGATAGATGATAGCAATTCTTCAAGGAGTGGGATTAAATAGGCGGACAGTGTGAACTTCAAAGGATAGGGCAGTCTGTCACACCTGCTGTCACCAGTGGCATACATACCGCGATCGCAGGGGTCGCAGCTGCGAACGGGTACCCGCCGCCAACTGTATGTATGTGTGCCCGTCTGTTTGTATGTATGTATGTGTCTTTGCATGTATGTGTGTCTGTCTGTATGTGTGTGTCTGTCTGTATGTGTCTGTGTCTATCTGTCTGTACACCCTGTTCCAAATTATTATGCAAATGATATTTTTCTCATTTATCTCAATAATTGATGTAAATAACAGTCAACATAATTCTTATGTTATCAATTATTAAGAGTACAATTCAACTTTTATTGAACAAACCTCCTAATGATAACAGTATTTTTTTAAACATAAAAAACTTACAATGCAATGTTCCAAATTATTATGCACAGTAAGTTTCAAAACACTTTATAGATTGTAAAGAACTGAAAATTGGCATTTATTGTGTTTGCAGCATATTTACTGAAATCAAAAGCTATTTCAATCAAACTTATAACAACATTTTAACAGTTTCTGCTTGTATTTGTTTGCAAAATGTCAGAATAGCCTCCCAGAGCTGCTGTTTGGATGTAAACTGCCTCCCACCCTCATAGATCTTTTGCTTGAGGATGCTCCAAAGGTTCTTAATAGGATTAAGGTCAGGGGAGGATGGAGGCCACACCATGACTTTCTCTCCTTTTATCCCCATAGCAGCCATTGATGCAGAGGTATTCTTTGCAGCATGAGATGGTGCATTGTCAAGCATCTTCCTTCTGTAGCAGGGAAGAAAGTGGTCAGTCAGAAACTCCACATACGTTGCAGAGGTCATCTTTACACCTTTGGGGACCCTAAAGGGGCTGACTAGCTCTCTTCCCATGATTCCGGCCCAAAACATGACTCCACCACCGCCTTGCTGATGTCACAGCCTTGCTGGAACAGGGTGGCCGTCCACCACCGAAAAAAATATGAAGACTAATTTTCAAACAGTCCTGTTCACTGATGAGTGATGGTCTAGATGGATGGAGTAGTGGATACTACTCCATCCATCTGGACCATCACTCATCAGTGAACAGGACTGTTTGAAAATTAGTCTTCATATTTTTTTCGGCCCATTGTAGCCATTTCTGCTTGTGAGCATTGGTTAGTAATGGCCGAATAGAAGGTTTATGCACAGTTGCAAGACTCTGGAGGACTCTACACCTTGATGTCCGTGGGACTCTAGAGGCACCAGCAGCTTCAAATATCTGTTTGCTGCTATGTAATGGTATTTTAGCAGATGCCTCTCTTGATCCAATGCATGGATCTGGCAGAAATCTTCCTCAATATGCCTTTATCTGCACGAACCCGTCTGTGCTCTGAATCAGCCACAAATCTGTTAATAGTGTGATGATCACGCTTACGTTTTCATGAAATATCTAATGTTTTCATACCTCGTCCAAGGCATTGAACTATTTCACTCTTTTTGGCAGCAAAGAGATCCTTTTTCTTCCCCATATTGCATGAAAATGGTGCTCTGCTTAATAATGTGGAACACCTTCCTTTAGTAGTTTTTCCTTAATTTGGGCTCACCTGGCAATCTAATTATCAAAGGTTTCCGAGATTGTTTTCAGTGTTCAAAAGAGCCCTGAGACACAATGCCATCCATGAGTTAAACTGAAAAACAAAATATTTAATCTTTGTGACACTTAAATAGAATTTGCATAATAATGTGGAACAGGGTGTATTTATGTTTGTGTGCCTCTCTGTGTGTCTTGTGTGTGTGTCTGTGTGTGTGTATGTGCCTGTGTGTATGTCTGTCTGTATGTATGTGTGCCCATCTGTCAGTTTGTATGTATGTGTGTCTTGTCTGTATGTATGTGTGCCTATCTGTTTGTATGTGTCTTGCTATGTATGTTTGCCATGTGTGTGTCTGTCTGTATGTATGTGTGTACGCCTGTCTGTTTTTATGTATGTATGTATGTATGTCTTTGAATATATGTGTGTCTTGTGTGTATGTGTATGTGTGTGTGTGTGTGTGTGTCTGTCTGTCTGTATGTATGTGTGTGTGCCTGTCTGTTTTTATGTATGTATGTATGTATGTATGTATGTGTCTTTGAATATATGTGTAAGGTATCTTACTTAGATCTAGTTTAAGCTTTATAACATGTGAGTGTGTCCTCATACTACTGTTGTGAGTCCTATTTTCCTGCCAAATCAGTCTGCACTATTATTTGTCATTTTGTGTCTGTGTGTGTGTGTGTGTGTGTGTCTGTCTGTCTGTATGTGTGTCAGTCTGTCTGTTTGTACAGGGAGTGCAGAATTATTAGGCAAATGAGTATTTTGACCACATCATCCTCTTTATGCATGTTGTCTTACTCCAAGCTGTATAGGCTCGAAAGCCTACTACCAATTAAGCATATTAGGTGATGTGCATCTCTGTAATGAGAAGGGGTGTGGTCTAATGACATCAACACCCTATATCAGGTGTGCATAATTATTAGGCAACTTCCTTTCCTTTGGCAAAATGGGTCAAAAGAAGGACTTGACAGGCTCAGAAAAGTCAAAAATAGTGAGATATCTTGCAGAGGGATGCAGCACTCTTAAAATTGCAAAGCTTCTGAAGCGTGATCATCGAACAATCAAGCGTTTCATTCAAAATAGTCAACAGGGTCGCAAGAAGCGTGTGGAAAAACCAAGGCGCAAAATAACTGCCCATGAACTGAGAAAAGTCAAGCGTGCAGCTGCCACGATGCCACTTGCCACCAGTTTGGCCATATTTCAGAGCTGCAACATCACTGGAGTGCCCAAAAGCACAAGGTGTGCAATACTCAAAGACATGGCCAAGGTAAGAAAGGCTGAAAGACGACCACCACTGAACAAGACACACAAGCTGAAACGTCAAGACTGGGCCAAGAAATATCTCAAGACTGATTTTTCTAAGGTTTTATGGACTGATGAAATGAGAGTGAGTCTTGATGGGCCAGATGGATGGGCCCGTGGCTGGATTGGTAAAGGGCAGAGAGCTCCAGTCCGACTCAGACGCCAGCAAGGTGGAGGTGGAGTACTGGTTTGGGCTGGTATCATCAAAGATGAGCTTGTGGGGCCTTTTCGGGTTGAGGATGGAGTCAAGCTCAACTCCCAGTCCTACTGCCAGTTCCTGGAAGACACCTTCTTCAAGCAGTGGTACAAGAAGAAGTCTGCATCCTTCAAGAAAAACATGATTTTCATGCAGGACAATGCTCCATCACACGCGTCCAAGTACTCCACAGCGTGGCTGGCAAGAAAGGGTATAAAAGAAGGAAATCTAATGACATGGCCTCCTTGTTCACCTGATCTGAACCCCATTGAGAACCTGTGGTCCATCATCAAATGTGAGATTTACAAGGAGGGAAAACAGTACACCTCTCTGAACAGTGTCTGGGAGGCTGTGGTTGCTGCTGCACGCAATGTTGATGGTGAACAGATCAAAACACTGACAGAATCCATGGATGGCAGGCTTTTGAGTGTCCTTGCAAAGAAAGGTGGCTATATTGGTCACTGATTTGTTTTTGTTTTGTTTTTGAATGTCAGAAATGTATATTTGTGAATGTTGAGATGTTATATTGGTTTCACTGGTAATAATAAATAATTGAAATGGGTATATATTTGTTTTTTGTTAAGTTGCCTAATAATTATGCACAGTAATAGTCACCTGCACACACAGATATCCCCCTAACATAGCTAAAACTAAAAACAAACTAAAAACTACTTCCAAAAATATTCAGCTTTGATATTAATAAGTTTTTTGGGTTCATTGAGAACATGGTTGTTGTTCAATAATAAAATTAATCCTCAAAAATACAACTTGCCTAATAATTCTGCACTCCCTGTATGTATGTGTGTCTTGTCTGTAAGTATGTGTGCCTTTCTGTCTGCATGTATGTGTCTTTGTATGTATGTGTAGTGTGTGTATGTATGTGTCTGTATGCATCTGCCTGTCTGTGTCTGTGTGTGTGTGTGTCTCTGTATGTATGTTTGTGTGTGTGTGTGTGTGTGTGTGTGTGCCTGTCGGGGGAGTTAGAAGGGGGGAAGAGGGAGGAAGGGGGGGCACCCATGGATCAGTTCCGCACCGGCACCCCATGGTTTATGTGTATGCCACTATGCACAACATATCCCTGGTGGGAATTATACCACCAATGCGCAGATGTCTGAGTGACTTCATGCTTGACCAAATGTGAGTATAATACATTTTTGTAGTGTATCACATATTTCTGTTTACAGTGAGCACTATTGGATTTTTTCTTCTTCTTTCATATACCTACCTGCACATCGAGATATGCACCTCAAAGTTATATCCATCAGTGCGGACTGTACTGCTGCAAGGTATCTTACTTAGATCTAGTTTAAGCTTTATAACATGTGAGTGTGTCCTCATACTACTGTTGTGAGTCCTATTTTCCTGCCAAATCAGTCTGCACTATTATTTGTCATTTTGTGTCTCCCTACATATATTTACAAGCACATTAACCAAGAACCAACATTTCCCAAGAAACCAGAAACAGCTGGGATTGCGATATTTGGACTGGGAATATGTGGACTTTTTTATATTATACTATTCTATCTGTTCACACCTTTTTGCACAACCTGTTTTTTAGTATTTTATGCTGTCTGTTTTTAGGGTTTGAGGGTATCCCCTATACTCAGTGTTTGCTGCCTAAGTCTAGTCAGTTGTTTTCATTAGCGCTTATCCATTTTTGTGTTTTTCTTTTGCTAGTTCTAAGTTCAGGTCTATGCTATAGTGGTTTAGGTATATTTATTTTGAATTTTACATTGTTGTCCAAAGTATTTTATAGTTGTCATTTTATGGATTTATTTATTTATTTACTTATGGGAAAAAAAGTGTTGAGATTATAGCACCGTTAAGAACAGCAAGAAACATTAGGGTGTCTAGGTGTCTGGAGTTCTAGATCTCTGACAGGTGGAAACCATTTTGAGTTGTCACTGCGGAATCAGTTAGTGAAGAGGATATCATTGATAGTGAAAAAAGGTTGCCTTAATTCCAGGTTTGAGAGTCTCAGTAACATTTAGAGATAGTTACAGACACAAGGTAATAACACGGCACTGAATGTTACAATCATGACCACACAGAAAGCATAACATATGTTTCTCACAAAATACACATTTTCCTTTCATAGCATTTCCTGTAATGATTGTTCCATTAAAGTTCATCTAAATAACTTTTTAAAGTAAGGTGCAGTAATCGAATCATACCATCTATTCCTAAAAAAACAACAACTGTAACCTGCGGTTGCTCTATTCAAGGCTCTAAAAGGTAAATTTTTAGCATTAATAGATGCATAATGTTGAATGTCCTGTAATATGTGTTTGAATCTTAATTAAAGTGCCCTATTGCCGACAAAATATCACTTTTTTGAGTATTTACCAGAAGAACAATGTTAACTACATGATTTATAAATACCTTAGAGGTGATACTTAAAGATTAGTATAATGGTTCTACTGTCTATAGCATGTCCCTTCAGGCTGAGCAATGTAAATGCTGCCCTTTTAGAAAAAAAGGCATGTTTATATTGCTGCCTAGTAACACCTCCAGTGGCAGTCACTGAGATGGCCACTAAATATGCTTCCTAGTCCAGTGTGCAGTACAGTGTGCAGCACTACATTTACTGTCGCCATGCTCTGCATGGAGATGCTGAACGCTCCCCATAGAGATGCATTGATTGAATGCATCTCTATGGTGAAATGCTGATTAGTGCAGTGTGGCATTTTGCCCTGCAAAACAATATGGCCCTAATGCTTCCTTATGGGAAGATTGATGATCTGAGCGATGGAGGTGGGGCCAGCCATAGCGAGGCAGGCGTGGTGTTGGCGAAAAAGTAAGTTTAAATATCCTATTTCTCTACTCTGTGGGGGCTGGGGACCCTAATAGATAGTTTAAAATAAAAGTATTAGGAATACATGGTATATTGCTAACATAATAGTGTTCCTTTAAGTAAATTATTCCACTTACAATATTTGTCATACTGTATCTTTAAATGCTCTAGTTTATAAGCATAATTTGAAACCTGAGGTACATTATTCTTAGCTGTGTCATGACTGATATA